GTAGAAAACAGATAACAATTTCTTTGTGCTATTTTGGAAAATACCAACACAGTATGAGAGATCTCAAGTCCTAAACTAGATTGCTTATTAAAATGCACCAATAATAAAATTGGTGATAATCTGCACACCAAAATTGGTAGAGATAGCTGAGGTGGAAAAAAAAATACACTATTTCAGAGGGTGCACTTCACACCTCTTGTGACAGAAGTTTGTTCTGCTTCCAGAAGCATTACAAAAAATGGGATGCTTAACGAGAAGAAACAGTTCCAGTCAATAGCAAGGAAAGAGCAAGATTCCAAATCACTACCTCTCACATAGCTTCTGCACGCTGAAGAGGAAAAAATCCAAGATGGAATGATTCTAGCAATACAAGTAACTCATTCAAAACTCCCCCCACTTCTAATAGATATCGGAAGACATTTGTACAAACCCACTCCTCAGCCAGGTTCCTTGGTAACTGGAGGCATGCACCGTGATTACTTGGAGCCCCTTAAGAGTAATAACCTGTCCTGAATCATTCTCTAACTCATCCATGAATTTGGTTAAGCCTTCTGCAGGGTCTCTTCTGACACGTAGCAGAGAAGCCTGCTCTACCTAACGGCAAGCAAGCTTAGCTCCCAGCCTTGGTAGGGGAGGTACAGTACAAAATGACCTCAGGCACCATTAAGCAAAAGAAAAGCGCTACAACAAAAGCTGTTCAAAACATATGTGAACTTGTGGGGTTTTATCATAAGGAGATGAGGTTTTTTAATCAATACATGATTTTTTAACCTCTTACAGAGTTTCTTGGAGCAATCACAGTCGGACAGTGATATCTTTATGAACACCAGCTGATGACCCTCAATAAGAAAATCATAATTACATTGAATTCTTTTGCAAGGTGTTTTGAAACCAACTAATGAAAAGTACTGTTAAAAGCTGTACATTCTAAATAAGCTTAATAATAACATGAAGCATGTACTATTGTTTATAATTAACATCCAGGAAAAAAAAAACAAATTTTATTTGGAAGTTCAGCAGAAGCAATCATTTCTGTGATAAAAGGATTCGGGGAGCTAACAGAAGTTACACCGCAGCACTTTGCTTGGTGTAAGCTTACAACAGAACCATTTGAATCTATTCAGTAACTTATTGAAAAAATTAAGTTTTTTTCCAGTGAATGAACTGCCCATAAGGAACTCAGTATAGCTCCCAAAGCGAATAGGCAATTTCGGAATAGTGAAATATGGGAAGGGCTTTAGAAGAAACACCTGTTGAGTAGGTAAGAACAAATTCCACAGGCTGCCACTCAAAGTAGTGATGTATTATACAAAACAATCCACTTTCTATAAAAGTCATTCACAACAGCAATAGCTGGCAGTCTTCTGGGCTGTTTGTGATTTTTAAAGCATCTACCTACACACAAACCACAGCCTACTGCTTCGTTTCAGCCCCACAGAAATTGATAATTACCTTTTTATAAAATACCACTGGGGGCAGCGCAAAACAGACAATTTTTGGAAATAGTTCCATCTCACTTCGCTCTTATCACCTATTAAAAAAAAAGGCCCAACTGTCCACATTTCCAAGAGCTCTCTTGGGTTAGGGGCTGCTGCTAGCTGTGGCACAAAGCTATTTCTCAAATCAGGATTGCAGGATGGAGTTGTGAGCAACCCCAGGGATCACCATTATTTTGTTACTGCAGAAAAATCTGTGATGGTACGACTGAAGCAGTGTAACCAGGAACCGTGATGTAAAGAGAAGTCTGTCCTATAACAAGCCTTCTTTTTTTTTTTTTTTTTTTTAAAGTGAGAACTGACTAAGCTTTCAATAGAAACAGTTAAACATTTGTGGCTCACATTCACATAGCCATCTTCAAGGGTGCCAGTACCGTATGACGACAAAACACTCGGTTTTCCGAGCAAGTGCTTGGTATTCTGCATTTCCTTAGTCAGATAGTTTAGGGCTTCAGACTTACACTTCACAAATCATTTTTAAAGACAGCCATTAGGCAACAACTGCGCTGTTTACAGCTGCCGTGCGGGAACGCAGCAGCACGTACCTCTTACCTAACCTATCTACAGCACGGCGCGCCGCTCACCCACCACCAACGCCGGGACAGGCGCTCTCAGCCCGGCAAAATGAAGTCACCGACGAAAACGACGCGGGTGCAATCTCATCTTTTAAAGAAGCAGAGAAAGATCTTCTCTACGGAGGCCTTTGTCTGGTCCTTCCCCCGAGATACCGCGGGGCTCCGAGCACCCGAACGTACCGATAACCCGGGCGGCCCTTCACCCCTCGTTCCCCCGGGACACCCGGGCACGCTCCCCGAACCGCCGCCGCGAGAAGCGGGCACTCGGAGCGGCCGGCCGGTTCCATTCCACGCTGTACGACGCGGCCCCGGGCGGACCCCGGCGCTTCCCCGGAGCCCCGCACGGAGGGACGGGCAGCGAGCAGGGCCGAAGCGGCGCCGACGGCATCGCACCCCGGGAGCCGTGCCGCCGGCCCGGCCCGAAGGAGTCAGTCCGCCCGCTCCGCACCGTCCGCGTCGGGCGCAGCCGGCACCGGAGAAGAGAAAAACGCGCTACCCGGCCGGCCCCAGGCTGATCGGAGCCGATCGCCAGGGACGGCGGCCCCCGCCCCGAGCGGGTCGCCCGCCCGCCGGAACAAAAGGACAACGGCTGCGGAGCTGCCCGCCCACCCCCGCCCCGCCGCGGGGACCCCCGCCCCGCACTCACCTCGGCGGAGCGGGCGGCGGCCGCTCGCAGCCCCGCGCTCCCTCCCCGCGCCCGCCCCGGCCCCGCGGCGCCTCCCCTCGCGCCCTCCCTCCCGGCTCCGTCTCTCACCGCTACCGGATCGGCGGCGGCGGCTGGGCCCGACTCCCCGCCACGTGACCCCGCCGCCACGTGACCACGCCGCTTCCCCGCGCCGGCCCCGCCCCCGCCGTGCGGCGCCGCGGGCCCAGGGCCGCCCCCCCACGGACTCTCCTCACGGACGCGAGGCGGGGCTGAGGGCGCGGCGTTAGCGGGAGCTCTTCTTCGGGGCAGGCTTTGGGGAGCCGAACTCGCTATCGCTGAATTCTTTTCTCGTCTCCTGGGTTCAGCTCGAGCCGTCTGCGCCCGAGGGAGCAACAGCAAGCTCAAACACAACCTCTGAGCCCCGCGACTGGGACCCAGGGGCATCCTAGCAGCTAAGAAAGCCCCTGCTTCCAAAGAGAGAGCAGAAGACGAAACCTGTAACGTTTATAGCAGTAGCACACGCTCATAAAGTTGCCTACCAGGATGCTGCTGCCCTATACACAGCCACGTTACAGCTAAGGAAATGACTGCATCGCATCAGTCTTTTGCAGCTGCCATTCTGTGTGTCTGTGTGCCTGTCACTTACTCTTGGATCATCAAGCATGCTAACATGCACTTAATTCACACTCCAAACTATTTTTAAATAAACAAAATATGTAAAAGTGAGAGAAAACTCAAGGGAAAGAGACTACTTTTTCCTTAACAGGTTCTGCTCCATCCACTCATCCAACATAATCAGCTTGACCAGCCAGTTACGCTACGGAGCTAACAGCAAAAACATCTGAATGACAGAAAAGGAACTGCACGCAATATTTTCTAAGAGCGTTTCATGTCAACGGCAGTAACAAACATGCAGTTTGAAAAGGAACACAGTTCTGTTCATCTCAGTCACACCAGGACGATGGTTTTACCATGTAACCAGCTATTACAGGAAGTAGCTCCTCTAATTCTACGAACTATTAATCCTCTATTCACAACCCTTACCTCTATGAAACCACAGCCTGGCCTCTTTTTCAGGAAAACAGATGACAAATCCCACTTATCTGTAACAATAACACATAGCAACAACCTCCTAAACTCACCTGTATTAAAGTGTCAAACATATGACTTTTTTTTCTTTTTTAGGTAAGATATTCACTCTCTCACACATTAAATCTTTTTTGTTGCAGATTTTTTTTCACCATTTTATTTCATTTTTCATGCCTTCTTCTTCATTTGCAAACTTACTTTATGTTCATTTACTACGGGAAGAAATGGGCAGAACTAACAAACTAACTGATAACAGCAAAAACAGTTTTTGAGTTAGCCAAAGGAAAAGTGACATTTCTACAATAAAAAATGTTCTTACATCTCTCAAGTGTACTCATTGCAGGCAAGCAAAATGAGTTCAATTCACACTCAAACTTTGTCATTATGAAAACCTATGCCGATCTTTGAGTTCTACAAACTAGTCTGTCTAATTATTTGTGGGATTGAAAGCTTGGCATCAATAATTTGCCCTGACTTTCTGCAAATAGAATTAAAATAATGCATTTTTAAACTGGCAACATATATTTATTATTATTTTCAGACTTTTATAAGAAAATTAAATTTGTACACCATTTCTGTAGTTGTGCAGTCCTAGTGCCCCAACGTGAGCAGGGAGTTGAACAGGTGACCTCCAGAGGTCCCTTCCAATCTAAACCATTCTGTGATTCTCTACTGCATTACTTCACATCATTACAGATGTTACAAACGCCTAGGATTGTCATCATTAGATGCTGGATGCTAGTACCAAGGGCAAAACTACTCAGCATGTTTTAGTGTGGCAGTCTGTGAGACTGGAAAACCTAGAACTGATGCTCCATCTAATCACAAGTGATAAAATTCCAGGAAATGTTGCCCCAGATCTCCCAAGGCAATCATTCAGACTAATAGAAACTTTAAAATATTGGTACAACTGATTAATCCCAAGCTTGAGCAAAGGTGAAGTGTTGCCAATGTCTGACCACTAGACTTAAACATATGCCATTTTTATGAGTCTTTTCTTTGCTTCTTTGGCTTGTTTTGGTTTATGATCTCCATATAACTATGATGATAATGAAAAATTCCACTATATGAAAGCCTCTTTCACCATTGCTCCTTGTACTTAGCAATTCAATCAGCTAAAGTTTTCCCTAGCACCTTCACAGTTCTTTTTTTTATTATACTACATTTAAAGAAAGAAATGAACAAGAATAACTCTACGTATTGAAAAGGTTTTTAATACTTGTAGCAAACAACTTTAGGAACGGCTTCTGAAATAAAGAATCCCTCAGAATCCCTTCTCCCTCCAGCTTCTTCTAACTCCTGCCATCATACCAGAGACTGAACAGGCAGAAATAGCTTCACTGAACATTTAATTAAAAATTTAAATTAAATTTCAAAGCCAAAAGGGAAACATTTATTAGCTTCCAAAAATTCAGATTTCCTGGACCTGCAGACAAATTTGTTTAGATGCCTGTCTTTGGCTGCTCCTCATTCCTTCTCTCTTGCTTTTCTCAAACACCATTTATAGCTACCTTTACCCAGTGGCAACCCAGTCATCATCAGAAAAATGTTACAGTTCTCGATCACACTGTCTGTCAATATCAAATGCAGAAAGCACACTATGCATTACAGTTGAAAAGATATTTTTCAAAAACTAGATCGTTCTAACATTAAGAAAGCTTGTTTTCCCAGTCCATCTGATATGTTGGCTCTTCTGATAAGTACAGGGCCTTCTGTAAGCAAAATAAATTCTAGTTAATTGCAAGCTTTTTTTATTTGACAAACAAACAGAATTTAAGCGCACTAACAATTTCTCTCCTGTGTTGCTTGTGATCTTGTTTAATTTCAAAATTTAACAGGAAATGGTATTTAAAAGCCTCTTTTCTACTTTCTTATCCATCTTGCTCTAATACCCTTTACCTTCAAAAGAGCAGGAATGTAACTAACATTGCCAACGGATTATAGAGGATTGCTTATCATGTTTACTTGGCATAGCCAATATGTCAATAGTGACAACATTGCACAATTGTGCAACACTTATCTGCAGGTGACACCTTCACTGATATAAAGGTAGGCACCATTCCAAGTTTTCTCTGATTTACAACTCAGCCCATCTTTCCTGTAACAGAAAAGTAAAAAATTGTGGGTCTAGGTGCTACATCCCTCAACCTATTGTCATCCAGGAATTTTGTTGTTATTTTGTTTCCCAGGAGATTAGTATTATAGCTAAGCAGTTACCTGACAAGAGTTTTGGTGTTGGAGCACATTCCTACACAAGTATTATTAGCCTTTATGTATAATAAAGCTATTTGTTTGAAAAAACAAAACATTTCTCCCAGCACCTTTCTACTTGCTGTTGTTACTACCACCTAGAATTGCTCATGTATACAAAGCTAAAAGCTAACAGATACTACATTTTTTTATTTTTTAAGAAGTGTTTCATGAGTGGCAATTTTAATGCAGTTTCTATTCTGTAATTAATCTGCTTATTACTGCCACACAATCAGAGGAGAAATTATTATCAATTTTTTTTCCTATATGAAAAATACAACCACTGGTTTGCAAAGTATTACCATGTTTTTCCTCATATTAAAACTTTTATTGTAGAAATTTGTTAACTTTTCCTTTGGACAGCTCAGGAACTGTTTTTGCTGTTGTTGGCCTCTGATCTACACTCACTGAAAATGATGTGGCTTAATACAGAGCAACTCTGAAAGCAGAGTAATGGTGTGGATACATTCAGACCAAGCAGTAATATCTGAAAATGACAGTTTCAGCTGTATCATTACAATGTGGTAGGATTCTCAGCCTAATTACAGAAAGAAAACATTAGGTAACTAAACATCTAAGAAATTTCAGAGTTAAATAAATTGCATTCCAAACTCTCCTACACAAATGTCTTTCTAGTGGGGTTCTTTGAAGTTAAAATAGTTCATCTGTAGCTTAAAGCATTTCCAGAGTGAGACATTAATTGTGCTTCAAAGCACAATAAATCTGTGACCCACCATTACCTATGCTGCAGCAATTTTACGAAAAGCAGTTTAAAGTATTGGTAAGAGCTCCCCTTACTGGTCTGCCTTGAAATTGTTAGGCCCACACCTCTTCTGATACAAAACAAAGAGTGAAGTATCAACTCTATTCACATTAAATATCGTATTTCTACCAGAGCACCTATTTCTTATAAATTTCTTGTTAGTAGCTGAGTCATAAGACCAAAGATTTAATTTAGGTGAAATTTGTTTTTCCATCATTAAAAAACTACAAAGTGTACTGAAACTTAAATGTATAGCAAATGTAAGCATTGCCAATGTCTGAGTTATACAATAGACATGGAGATCCAATTCTGACATAGTGAGTAATGCCTCATTTCACTCATTACTAAGCTCTACCGGCTTTCATGGGATCATTTGTGAGAATCAGTGCAGAGAGAGGACTCAAATCTGCTGTGAAATTGGAAAATGCAAAAAGATTTGTTAGAAAAGCTTACTATTTTTCTTCATTGGCCTACTGTCTGGTTGAAAAAACAAAATTTACCTCTCAGTCTCTGTTCGTGTACGTATTTCTATATAGACAGCTATTTTGTAGCAATGTATTTTTCCATCAATATTATTTTTAGAGACTGACTTCTAAGGCTCAGCTTAGGGGCTGGCTCAAATTTGACACTATGGTGATGATGCCAACTAAGAAAAGTTAAAATAAGCCATGTTAATAAAACCATGAAATCCCATAACTTACAACTCATAGAAGAGGATCTTGTTAATGCATAAAACATCTTTTCTAATTTGTTCTCACGTTCTTGAGGTCACCCCACAGAGTTCTCTCTACTCATTACTGGTTATTCCTTCCTTTACTGCACTGGATAATTATTCTCCCTTAGCTTACTGTTGAACTGGAGAGAAGGAAAGGGAACTTGTATGTTTATATCATCCCAAAACATTCATTACAATCTGCATTTAATTAATGAAAGTCATATTGATAAACCAATTTAAAGTTTCAATTACTACTCAAAAGTTACTCACAAAACACAATGAAGTGAACTCCAAAAATCTTTTTTCAGAGCTATTAAGTAGCAAATAAAAGATGAAGTTCAAGTAAGCATCCCTTAGATGACAGTCCTATCATGCTCTTCCTCTGGTAGGCTAGATTACAGAATAATCATATAGGTTGAAAAAGACTCTTAAGTCAAAACATCAGTATAACACTACCAAGTACACCATTAACAATGTCCACATCTCTTAAATACTTCCAGGGATTCTATCTCTTCCCTACACAGATAGTTCCAACTCCTAACTGCCCTCTTCTTGAAGAAATTCCTGTGGATATCCAACCTAAACCTCCTATAGCAGAACTTGTAGCCATCACCTCGCATCCTATCTCTAGTCACCTGAGACTGATACCTTGCCTTCCTTCAGGAAGTTGTAGAGCATAGCTCTGAAAACCAAGCTTCCCTTTGAACTGATAATTAAGAAGTCTTTTGTTACTAAAACCAATGAATTTGTCGATTTTGAGCAAGAAGCAGGATAAGAAAGAAAGGCGTAGCACATTCTTGTTTCTGTTATCTCTATCTTGCCATATTTGCAAGAATATCAAAAATCTTTGCAGGTTTTATTATCATGCGCTAGCTGCCTTACTGAATAAGCCAGCATCTAAATTAGTGAGTTACACATGCAGATTTTTTACACTTTCAGTGTAAAGAAATGAGGACTTATCTTCACAGATTTTATCAAAGGAGCAGTAAGGGACAAACACCTAAAACAAAAACAAAAACAAATTTCTTCTTATTAAATACAGCAATCAACTCTTTATTTTCCCCTTCCTAGTCACATAGGTTCTTGTGGTTACATATTAGCTTCAGTTAAAAAACAATATACAAGTAGTTATATTGGTCTCAAATTTAGTACCCCTCTATTTGCTATTGTTGATTTGCAAGTAACCAGTTTACAGCTCAACGTTATGATGCAGGATTATAGATTTTGCATTCACCCTCTGTCAAAACCTTAAATCCTCGCCACCACTCCTCAAACTCAGAACAACACAGAAATGATAATATCAGTAAAAGTAGGTAATTATTATGGAGTACATGTAAAGTGTGAGACAAAAAAATAAAAAAAAAAAACAAATTATTATTTTGGTATCTAAAACTCATTAAGTTAGAGAAGTATTTGATTTCATCTGACCATGCCTCCAATGTATGGGGATGCTCTATCAAGCACAGACTTTCTTTACATTCTATGTCACACTATAAGCAAATTTAATCAATTCCACAGGAATATAACATATCAGGAAGGTTCATAAAGCATTCCAGTACAGAAACATCACTCATTTTTGGGTTATACCATTTCACAAGGTAACTCTAAAGGAAAACCAGAAGTCATGCATCAAAAATATCCCTCTGCACGCCCCTAAGCATATCATCTTATGGATTTTAATAAAGATACCATAATATTTCAAAGTGAGAAATAAAATTCAGTTCAAGAGTATTTTGTCTATGAAAATTACCCATTTTCCAGAATAGCCACTTTAGCATAGAACTTAGTAACCACGGTCTATTAAAACAGTAACAACCCAAACTACTGAAATTTGCTTTTTAAAAATTGGCAGCATCTATTTTCTCATCTTTTTTACTTCTGAGTAATAGGAAAAGAGTTCTGGTCCATTAACTCGCCCACTCTCTCCTGGAGGAAGTTAACCAACTCTGCTAATACAAAGACATGAGTTTCATCCAGGTCTTGTATGATGAACTTCTTTCCCAAAGCATTTGACTCATCCAAGTAGAGCAGAAACTGCTTCATTGCTGGGTCACTGTAGAGACAAATATACATCAGATTCCACTCATTGTAATAAGATACAGCTAAAAATTAAGAACATCCTTTTAAGACATTCTCAAAGTTCTTTCAAAAATTGTACTAACCTCAAGAGCTGCTCACAAGCAAAACATTAAGATGCTGTTGAAAAAGTTGTTTCTCTGGCAACAAAAAAATGTCTTGGTTCTTATAGAAATAAAAGTAAACTGATAACCAAGACTAAAAAGAACTGGCTGCTAAACTGGCAGAGAAATGCCACTATTACAAAAGTAGATTGAAAAAAACAAAACAAACAAAAAAAACCCAACAACCTCACCTTAACAAGGTGAGTTGAACCTTGCTGTTTTCAGAAACAGTGCCATAGAAACATGCTATCTTGAAACATGTTTTTAAGGGGAACCAAAACCCAATACAGCAAACATCTCAAAGTAGAACAGCACGGAAAGGAAGCAGTCATACATGAATTATACATTTATCACACTGTAATTGAACTGTCCCTTCTTTTTCATGTTATCACCTTACAAGTTAGATATAAGCATTCAGCAGAGAACACTTCAGAAGCTTGAAAATTACATGAACGTCTGTGTTATACTGATCAATTAGACACAGAAAAAGTGGGTTCAAAATATAAACTTTTGGATCCGCTGAAATTTTGAATAATTCAGACTTAATATTTATTGACAGTTGTGGGGTCCTCCTCTTGTTTTTTTAATTTTTCTAATAAAAAACAGGAAAAGCATGCTTCTGGTAAGAATTGATATTTGGGTGCAATAACTGGTAAATGGACATGTGCAGGAAATAAATTGCAGTCAGGTAGTTCAGAATAACTTGAAATTATGAACATGGTTGTTTTGACAAAGTAGTAAACAGCAACATTATCTTAAAAGAATTCCTTAGACAATTATTTCTTTTATACTCCCTTACCTAAAAGGTGTATGTGATGCAAAGGCACGTGTTAGAGAACCAAATCCCTCTGCATGTCCAACTACTAACAACTCAAAAAACAAGATTAGCCTCAAAAGTGTTAAAACAAAATGACTCTATGAAGTACCTAATTTTGAGGCAAGGAGAGTAGGAAAGTCTGATCTCCATCGTTTTTAGAGAAGCTATTACTTACGTGCTCTAGAACGTTAGAAGAAAAACAAAGGTTACACAAAGAAGTTATGAAAAAGATACCAAAAAGTGTGTGGTCCTCAGCCTTCTTCTACACATTCTTTTTGATGGGTGCACAGAGGTTTATTTTTGCTTGTTTCTTTCATGTGTACCTTATCAATACACTATGATTACCAGAAGCATAAGCTGGTATGCCCAGCCTGTATGTTAGGCAACATACTCATTTGCACATACAGGACTGTAATCAGTGCCAGGATATGTGTGTTTCAGCAGTAACACTGATCTTGTTCAGCATGTGAAGATTATAATCATTGAGATTTTGTCTTAGGAACAGTTTAGCTATACACTGGAATAATGCAGGGGGAAGGAAGAAACCTCCATGTTATTAGCATTTCATTGTTTTATTTTCATGTTTTACTTTAATGTTTAACATATTCAGAAGTGTTTATTTTTTCCCCAACTTCTTGACAAGTTACTACCAAACATATCCTGGAAAAAATGAGTTGTAAAAAATTCATATCTGAAAAGTAAATGGGACAGGTTTGTAATAACTCTGCATCTTCTCCCAGGATGGAATCATCAGCTACCCTTATGAAAAGGCAAGAAGGAAACAAGAAAGCAAGCAGCAGCTGGCAAAGCCAACACAAAGGTGAGTTTCCCAAGGGGCTGTTTAAACTCTGATGGCATAACAGATGCTATAGATTTCTCGTCAGATAAAAGATTCCCTTCCAGGGAGAATAATTAAGTTTCATTCTAATATTAAATGGGAAATGATCACAATGTTGTACAAGAACACACGAGTCTTTCAGTGTGTGTAAAAGAAAGTGGAAAAAAATACAACATCGTACTAACTGCTTGAGATATTAGAATCTATTGTTGTGCCAGTCCACAATTCTGCTTTGGGTGTCTTTACAAAGTGCAGGGAGGCTGTTTCTTGTGTTCAGGTTTGTCAGCATACTAACATGCAGCCAAATTGGAGCAGATAAGCTTTTTGTGATAGTGGAATTCATGCTCCAAGATGCTTATACCCAACTATGAGGCATTCAGATGTGAGCTGGCTGATGTTCAATCAGCTCAGAAGTGAACCACAGCAGGCACACAGCTGTTTGCACCATGCAGGATATTTTGCACTTGTGCACTTATAGTCTGTTAGTATGTTTACAGTTTAAGCATACAGCAGAAACCCTGTACATAATATAATGACTCCACAAAGCTTAACTGACAGCTCCTTTAATTTAGAGGTAACTGTTATCAGAACCTTAGTCTTGGGATTTCAGACTGCATATAAACAAACTGACTGCACAGATATGAACAGCTTACTTTCTGAAATTATAAGCATACTTGTTTTAGAGTAGCCAGCCTTGAGTGGGATATGAACTGGAATCGATGAAAAAAGAAAACAAAGGATGAAAAATGGACAAGTTGCCATTTAGAATCAGTACTAAAAACACATCACCCAGGAACAAAACTAATCAACATTATTTGCAATATAACAAACAAGAGGTACACATGACGTTAAGTCTAAGTAGAAAACAACAACATATTTTAAAAACTGAGTTTGGAATTAAGATTTCCTACAACTGCCTCTCTCCTTCTTCCCCTAAAGACCTCATCTTTCATTTGCCTGTTCAGCATCATTTACCATACAAATCCATTTTTCAGCCTAGACTCTTAAAGTACCTAAAATATTTCCAGTTCTAAAGAAGCAGTTGAGTAGATGCTGATGCTATCACTAACCATTCAATCAGAACGCCCTTCAGAACATTCACCATCCTTGCAGCTCTCACAAACGCTCAAAGGTGCGGGTGGCAGGAAAATCTCCTGGTTGGGGTTACAGATAAAGCAGATGAAGCCTGTAAGACAAAGAAACGCCTCTGCTGAACTCAGCGACCCAGGAGGGGGGGGGGGGGAAGCGAGCAGAAAGCAGGACACCGTTACCCTGCGTCTAAGCCCGCTCCCAACCTCTACACCCAGGCGGTCGCACACAGGCACCGCCCGCCCTCCTCGCCCTGCCAGCATCCAGAACGGCTCTGCCTCCCCCTCCTTCTCTTTCTCCCCCTCCCCCCGCCCCGCTCCTCTCGTTGCCGCATGCGAACCGCGGCCTTGCGAAAGGCGGCCGGGGCGGAGGCAGACAGGCTCCAACCCGTCCACAGGCTAAGCCGAGGACGACGAACGGGTAGCTCCGGCCCGGCAAGCCTTACCGCTCCTCCAGCTGCAGCCGCGCAGAACACACGCACCCAAGCAGCCCGCATACACGTACTGCGCAAGCGCAGTCCTCGCTCCTCCTATTGCCCTCCTGACGCTGCGCTCGGATTGGCCGAGCCGCGCGCGGTGTGATGACGTCATGGGAGCCGCGGCGCCGGCTGCGAGGAGAGATAGGAAGCGGAAGGTACCGGCAGCGGCGGGGCGAGCGAGGGGAGGCGGCGGGGCGGCTGGAGGGGCAGGGCTCGGGTTTTTTCGCGGTCCGATGCCGATGTTTGTCAGACCTCAGCCTTGAAGACCCTCTTGGCTTGGGGCCGGCCGCTGTCAGCGCCCCGCTTGCGGGGAGGCGCCCGCAGGGAGTCCGCGCTTATCAGAAACGTAATAAATGAAGTCAGAGGATAACCGCGGTGCTGAAAGGAGACAGGGCAGAAACCTGTGCGCTGTGGTAACGCTGGGAGTCATCCCTGCTGCGACATCAGAGGGCCTGATGGCCGTTCACACGTGTGGCACTCCATCTTTTTGACTAATCGTCACTGTGACAAGACAGAGGTTCAATATCTGTATTTTCCAAATAAATACGGGGGTGATTTACATCTGTTTGAACAGACTGACTTCACATTTCTATCAGCATGTTGTAAGGCAAGCACTCACACGTCACATCGTGACATTTTAACCTCAGGTTACTTCTGCAGAATACCCAGCCAGCAGTAATTCTTGCACTGAAAATATGCCTGAATGCTTGGATGAAGTCCTCAGCAGAAAGAATGCAGAGTTTGATTGGTGCTGTAGGTAGCCAAAGCCAATTAGGTCATTATCCTAACCTCAGGTAGGCTTTTCTTGTATAGGTAAAATGTAGAGGCAATAATATTTGCTAATGTATAAAATGGTGTATATAGACGTGAGTAGTGAATGTAGTAATGGGTTCTTTCATAAGGTCTGAATTGCCTCATTTCTTAACACTTCACCCCTACAACTATACATTAATCAAACCTCATTGTGTAGATGCTAAAATACATCCCTTATTGACTGTGGTGTTACAGTGTAGTCAGCAAGAAAAGACAAATGTTATCTGATTTGCCTTCTAGCATCAACAATCTATATGAGTTGTTAGAGCTGGCTAAGTCAAAATAAAAGATGTAAGTGTTAAGGTGAAATGAATTATGAACAGTTGATTACTAACCTGTATTAAGTCATGTGTTGTATTGAGCACTGTCTTCATGTGCATGGGATGTATTTAAGTGAGGCTATCAGGAAAATAAAACAATAAATCAGAAAATGCTTCAAAGCAGAGCAGGTAGCCAAAGATACATACTTACCAGTATTAACATAAATATGTAATCGTATGAAACACTTCATAAATAAACTTTTATTGTAATCAGAATGCAAACTACTAAATTCAGGAGTTTAGAACTTTTTTTTTTTACTTACAGTATTTTATATGGCACAGAATGATATAAATATGACTTTTTATGACCTTTCCTGTAAAAAGATGGGGAAAAATAGCTAAAGGTTTTCTACTAATTTCCAAATAATTTTTTTTTCTTTTTCTGAATATACAGAATGTCAGTGGCTGCTTACTGCATATTTTGCTGTAGACAAATAGGAACTTCTGGTCCAGCCACCAAAAAACAGCCATCTTGGAATGATATAAGTAAGTACAGTTCTGTAAGTATCAATCAGAGGTGTTATTAAAAGAGGAAAACCATCTGTGTGGATGTAACACTGTGCATGATTAAATGACAAGAAGAGACCTACATCTCTGCAGTTTGTGATCAAAAGCTTTATTTTCCTGAAGCAGATGTCTGCTTCTGACCTGCTTTGCATTGCAATGATGATAACTCTAGATAATGCAGATGATGGGAGTCCCATCAAAATACAATCTCATTAAATTATTTTAAGCTCATTTTTATCTGTTTTTTTTTCTTTGGTTGTTTCTTAACGATCAGCTCAATGAAAACATTGCATCCATAAACTGTTATTAACAGGACAGCACTTGAATAAATTTTGTTTCTTCCTCCTTTACTTTTGTTTTTTAAAAAAAAGTTCTACAATCTTCTCTGCTTTCTTTAATATCTTGTGTATAAAATGAGAATTCCTACAGTTCTCAGGTAGATTTTTCAGCACTAAAAGACAGGATATTTCTATTTCTGCTCTACAGGAATCACTGCATTTTTTTTTTGTCTCTTCTTTGCCAGTTATTCAGCATGTAACTGCTTCTTGTCTGCATGCCACAATTCGTGAAGTCTTGCAGAGGCTTCTGCCTTTGCTGGTGGCAGTGAGTCTATGGCAAACCTCCTGGTTCATGCTGAGGAAAATCAATTATTCATGATTCCATTGGGTTTGCCGCTACTCATAGCAGTAGAATTGCACTGTACTGACAACCTTAAGTCCAGCTTATCAGCTGAACTTCACCCAGGACAAATAATTCAAATCAGACAGGAATCATTGCATTTAAAAGGGAAGCTGCTGCAAGCGGTACGTGTTTATTCAACTCTTTGCTCTGGAAGTTAGATTCAGTGGAGTTATTTGAACAATATCCTTGCTTAGGGAGATTCTGCAGGGCTTTTCTCACACTGAATATCCAATCAAGAAGAAAAAGCTAACTCCTTAGCATAATGTGGAGGTTCAAACAAATGCTAGTGATATAGACAGAATTTCCTGTTGATTCTTGCAGCTAAGCAATGAATGCAATTGACAGGTAGCAATACTCACAGTAAATAGCAGCAGTAGGAAACCTTTCATTGCCTAGATTAAGAGAGCAGGAAATTCTAATCCAGCAAGATCTTATTTAATTTTAAGTAGTGATTTTCTAAAAGCTAGACAAAAATAGAAAAAACCTTAGTTACTGAAATTCTTACTGTCTTACATTATCTGTTTATATCAACTTGATGCACACAACTTCATTTGACATGATTTTTTCATTTTTCAAGGAACAATTGCAAAAGTAACTGGATCACTTATACTGGGGTAAGTTGTAAGCTTGCTAGTTACATGTAAGTTATGGTTACATTAAAAACTTCAATTCATGTTACTTTTAAAAAAATGTGACAATATTTGAGGGGTTTGTGTATGGTGAGCTCTAGTTTTGAAGCATATCTTCTGGTAGATTTAATTATTTTAGAGTTTCTTTTCTGTGCTAAATTGATGTAATCTGTGGACTTATATGTTTGGTAAAGTCTGGTATTTGTAATTAATAACTAAAGGATGATTTATACCAAAATGATTGTTAATATATTTTTGCTGTAGTCTTCCTCTTTTTTTTAGTAGTATTCATACACAGCTTTCTTTCATTTAAAGAGGTTTTGTATTCATTACATATGAAGTTTTGTCCTTAAAGAAGTTGCTGCAAATTGATACTCAAGCTATACATCAAGAAAAGCTTAAATCCCATGTGTATATACGTACATCATCTTTAAATCCAAATGAATATCAAGGTAAGATGTCATTGTTTGTAATCTAAAAATAAAGTTTTAACAGCATACAGTATTTCTGGAATTTACTTGTATATCCAGAGATATAAATTGAGCTATTTTACAAAGATAATATTCACAATGTCACCTAATTTATTTTTAAGAGATATATATTCATTGTATATATAGTTATAAAGTATAAATATGAATATCTTAAAAAAACCAAACTAGCCAGCAGCAGCTTGAAATAATGTGAGGTATCAGTCTTTCAAACTTAAGTAACCTAAAAATGCTCTTTTAGGGATCACATACCAAGCCAGAAAAGAAATCCATAGAGCAGTAAGGAAAATTCTTGAGACAGAAGCTAAAGTTTTCCGGAGACCTTTTAATGGTAGGTGTGAAGAGCATGACTTTACCTGTGAATACTACTCTATAGTAAAACCTAAGAATAATTATTTTACTTTCTAAAAGGGCTTAAGAACTTAATATTTCCTCTGTTTCAAACACAACAAAACACGCTATTTAATAGCATTTAATATAGGTTTCTTATTATAAGTTTCTTACAACGCAGAATTAAAGCTTTCTGTGTATTAAAACCATTCTATTTCTTTAAGTAAGTAAAAGTAATGTTTAAGAAGAGATTTGAAGAATAAATTAAGATTTATTTTTTCCCCATTTCAGATGGGAGTGGAAGCTTACAGTACTGAGTTAATATTTCATATCAAAGATTTTTGTATCAAAGGAATTTTTTCATGAACTATAGTAATAGAACAAGGGGTAACAGTTTCCAACTGAAAGAGAATGGATTCAGATTAGAGATTAAGAACAAATTCTTTGCTTTGAGAGTGGTGAGTGTCAATTAAATGAGTCCAGGTTCTTCTTGGTGGTGCTTAGCAACACAACAAGGGACAAAGGGCATGAACTGGAACACAGGAAGTTCCATATGAACATGAAAAAGAATTTCTTGACTTGGGTGTCACAGAGCACTGGACCAGGATGCCCTGAGAGATTGTGGTCTCCTCTGGAGATATTCAACACCTGCCTGAATGCTTTCCTGTATAATGTGCAATGGGAACCTGCTTGAGCAGGGAGTTGGACCAGTTGAGAAACCAAGGTTTCTTCTAATCCCTACAATTCCATGATTCTGTGAGGCATGGGCACAGGCTGCCCAGGGAGGTTGTGGGTGTCATTCTGTCCTATTTTATTGCACCAATTAGTTGTTGATAATTCATAGAAATGCTTTACTGAAGTATTAAAAGGAACAGATTATTTCTTTTTAATTCAGTGAAATGAAAGTGTGCCTGTTAAAATGCTCATTAGGAATAACCTGGGTTTTTATTTGTTTTTTTTTGCTAAAGAACACTTTAGTACATTTGATGGAGAAGATCATGAATGTGCCTTATGGCTCCTCTTAAAAAGGACTCAGTCAGAAGACAAAGAGGTCCGACTGCAGGCTGTGCAAGAGCTGGCAAAGAACACTCACTGGCATGGTAATGTATGCTGGTGTAGCTCAATTCATCTACAAAAATGCAACCATGTCTCCATTATCTGCTGCAAAGCTGCTGCTGCCCTGGAAAAATTGC